GGACACCAGGGGCGGCCGAGCCAGGGCCCCCCCCACAGCGCTCCTCAGCACTTCTAGGAACTCGGGCTGCTGCAGCCCCGGCTCGCCTCTCCCGAGAGCTGGCGGCAGGTGGGGGTCTGGGCGCGGCGCTCGGTGCCGCCCCCCCCCGCATCCCCCCCGCCCCCCAGCCCGGGCCTTGCGCCCCTCCTGCATCAAGTGCGCGGTGTTGCCCAGGGCCCGCTGCAGGGAGCACGGCCCACCAGCGCCCAGGCCCCTGCCCCACCCCTGCTTGTCACCCCCCCCACCCCCTGCACGGAGCCCGGCCTCCGCAGGGCAGCCCTGCTCAGACAGCACGCCACACCCTCACCCCCCTGAGCGAGTCACCCCAGCTTCCTCCTCTGTTGTTTGTTATGGACGGAGAAGCCAACATGTTCACAAAACAGGAAACAGCCCCCAGTGGTGGTGGCCACGGACACGGCCACACACCAGGGCCAGCAGGCCCTGGAGCCCGGCTCCCGCCCCCAGGCCTGGCCCCCCTGCACCGAGCTGCCCTGGGGGCAGCCCCGGGCCCCCCACCCCACCCCACACGGCTCCAGCTGCCTCACAGACCGGGAGCTGCCAGGACCAAAGCCACAGCCACCTTGCCAGAGAAGCCCAGGAGGGGCAGCCCTGCCCTCCAGCCCAGGCCACGGGGCCAGGGGAGTAGATCCCCCCTTCCTTCGGTGTCCTGCTGAGCCCCTCACCCCAGGGGGGCGGCCAGCCACACCCCCTCCAACAAAGGACAGCTGACTCCAGGGCGGGATGTGCTCTAGTGTGTTCAACAGGCCTGGCGTGGCTCGGCAAAGCTCACACCCCCTCCGAGGGGAACCAGGCTGCACCCTCCACGGTCCCCCGCACCCACACTGGGCCTGCAGGACCAGGGACGGGGTAACGGACGGCGTCACCACTGCCCCCCACCTCAGAGCCACGTGGGGCACACAGGTAATGCCAGGGCCCCGGCAGGAAACAGGACCAGCCACAGCTGAGGGAGGGGCGGTGGGAGAAACACGGCCCGGGGAGCCCAGGCCCCACCAGGGCGCCCGGACCTGGAAAGTGCTCGGGGCACCGCAGGGCAGGGACAGGCCAGGGCCAGGCCTGCTGACCCCTGGCCACACAGGTCCTGGGAGCAGCGGTGCCCGCGCCCCCAGCGCAGCTCTCCCCCACCCCCCCACTGTCAATCCCAGCTCCCAGACCAGGGGCCGCAGGCCAGCCGAGCGCACTCCCCGCGGGTCCCTCCTGGCCGATGGCCGGCCAGGGTCAGCACAGGTGTGCCCGGGGCTCCCCGCCCAGGCCCAGAGCCCCCCCTCCATCCACCCAGCTCCTCACTGCCTTCCTCCCCTCTCCTGGTCCCCCGGGTCCTGCTGGCCTGACCCGCAGGAGAACCACAAGCCGGCTGGCTGGGCGGACGGTGCCCACGCTGTCCTGGGCTCCGAGACTAGGCCCGGGGGGCAGGGGAGCCCCAGAGCAGCTGCAGACACGCAGGCCGTGACCTTCGCGCAGGGGGGTCGGAAGACAAAACTGGATGCCGCAGGCCGCTGGATAGACCTACACCCTGGAGCACGCGTGGGTTTTTAATTGTCAACCTTTAGAAATCAGGAGAATGCACATTAAGGGAGCTTTGAAAATGTACATTTTTGGAGCAAAATACCAAGCCCACCAGCCTCCAGCAGCCAGGCCTGGGCTCAGGTGTCCGCTTATCACTTGGCTAACGAGCGTCAGAACAGCCGCCTCTGCTCTGGAAGCCCACCAGCCTCTGGGGTCCCCGTCGGCCCAGCCTGCTGCCCAGCCACCCGAGCCTTCAGCAGCTTGGGCTCACTCTCCCGGGGACCCGCTCCCCACTTGACACACGGGGACACTGAGGCCCAGAGGGCTTGCCTGGCCCCCGGAACGGGTCAGTGCACAGCTCAAGCCCCGGCGTCCCCACCCAGGCTGGCCTCCCCGCTACCCACCACGAGGGCTCCGGCCCCGGCACGCGGCAAACAGGTCACCTGGGAACAGCCCCAAAGTCACTCCCCATGGATGGATACCCGCCTCCCCACAGGGAGCTGGGACCCCCTCTCCTGGCCTGAGGCTGGGGCCTGGAGGCTGCTGAGGCTGGCTGCACCCTGACTGGAGGCCCCCCACAAGCCACGTGACAAACGTCAGCAGGCCGTGCCCTGCCACGGTTCCTATCGTTTACACGGGGAGACCAAGGCCCTGAGAGCTCAACAGATTTGCCCTGGGGGGGGGGAGGGGACAGTCACAAAGCAACCAAATCAGATTCAAACTCAGCTCTCCGGATGCCCCCTGGCCCGACACCCCACAGCCCCTTCAGAAGGCACACGCCCTGAGTAGCAACTGGAAAGGCACCCCTACCCCAGCCCGGCTGGCAGGGGACGTCCCCGTGCCTGGGTCAGGGGCCCTGGGCAGCCCCGAGGCCCAGGACCTCCTGGGTCAGCCCTTCATCTAACAGTCGGGCAGCAAACACTTGTCAAGGATGAAGAGGCACCGGTCCCACGAAGGGGACTGTGGACACGTGCTGCTGCCGGGCCTGGGGCAGGTAAGGGGGAGGGCTGGCCAGGGGTCCTGGGGGACCGAGGAGGACGGAAGCGGGGGGACCGGGTTCTTAGGGGAAGCTAGGCGGAAGGGCTCCCCCGGACCGCAGGGCCCTGAGCGTCCCGGCCTCTGTCTGCAGTCCCCGTGCAGCAGCCTCCCTGCAGCGGCCACACAAGCTCTAGAAACACAGCTGACCACATCCCTGACCCCGCGCCTCGAGTGCTCGGCAGCCCCAGCCCCTCCTCCCTGCCCCTCCATGCCTCCCCCCGCCGCTCCTGCGGCTCCCCGGCCAGCTCCCGGCCCGCTCCGCTGGGGAGCCCCTGTGCACCCTCCAAAGCCCAGACACCTGCTTTTGCCACGCCCCCTGGCTGCTCCCCATGTCTGAGGATCCCCCTCCCCACAGCCCGTGGGACCCTGCGGTGGGGACAGGGCACCCTCCTGCCATCTGCTGTAGGACGCGCTCGAGGAGTGGCTGACTAGCCAGCTGGGGTCACCAGAGCCTGGGCAGGAACAGGTCCGGAGGAAGAGGAAGTGGGGTGGGGGCAGCTAATTCCCGCTCTGGGCCAGGAGGCAGTCACTCGCCAGGGGCACCTGGACGGGAGGCCTGTCCGTCCGCCACTACCCATCCCGGAGCAACAGAAGCCCGCGGGCCCGGGGCACCGTGGGTGCGGACAGGGCAGGCCCGGCGGGCGCGGGCCAGGCGGCTCGCTGCTCCAGCACATGCAGGCCCCGTGCTGGGCCCCAGAGTGGTGCGGAGCCCCCCCAGCCCGGGCCCGAGGCGGTCAGCAGGCCAAGCGCAGCACCTCGGCCCTGGCCTCAGGAGCCCTCGGGCAGTGCCCCGGGCCGCCAGCGAGCCAGGCCTTGGACGCGCCCCAGCGTCCTCCCTGCCTTCCAGGAAAGCGGGCAGGGAGGTGGCGGTGGCTCTCCCGCCCTAGGGACCCGGCCAGGCGGCCACTACGCCAGCCCAGCCTCCCGAGGGGAGCCGGCCCCGGGACCCCCGCCCCAGCCCCAAGCCCCGCGGGCACTGACCTCTCTTGTGCAGCCAACCCTCCTTCACGATGGCCACGTCGTTCATGGCGCCCCGCTCCAGCGGGCCGGGGCCACCCCAGCGCCCCTTGCTGGCCCCTCTCAGCAGGGTCTCCCCGAGCCCAGCCGGCATACCCAGCCTCTGGAAGAATCAAGGGGCAGCGTGTGAGGTTGTGTCCACCCCTCCAGCCCCACGGTGAGGCCGGGAGGCCCTGCGCACCCAGGGTCCCCTGCTGGGTCCTTCCGCCCCCTCGCAGCCCTGAGCCACAGCCACCCCCCATGGCTCCCACCACAGCCCCCGACAGAGTCCAGGTTACCAGCCCTGCTCCCTGGGGCCGAGGCTGCAATCCCCCTGCCACCCCTCTCTGACACCCAGGTGCCCAGGGTCTGCTGGCCCTTCTACATTCCCACTTCCCCCTGACTGGCCACAGACCCTTCCCCACCCCAGAGGCCTTCCGGGTATATCCCAGCCTCCCTAACCTGCCACCTCCTCCAGGCAGCCCCTCTGACTGCTCTGGTCTACGCTGCTTGGCCTCTCCAGGGCCCTGGTGAGTGCCCCTGAGCTTCCTGCCCACAGGCCGGGGTTCCTCCTTCTTGCCCCAGACTAGGAAAGAGGAGAAATTCAAACAGAACAAAGTAGGGCCAGGAGACCAGGCGGCTGGCGCAAATGAGAGCCCGGAGCCCTCTGGGGTGACATAAAATACCTCCCCCCAAGAAACCCCAAGCCCCTCCTAAACCACAGCACCCTGCCGGTCTGAATCTGGTTCATTCATCCGGCCAGCATGGACCAGGCATCTCTGGTTTCGCCAGGCTCGGCCCCGGGGACAAAGAGAGGTTCACATGGTCCCGTCTGAGAAGCACCCAGTCCAGGCTGGTCACAGACCCATAATTACAGTATTCAGGAGGCAACAAATGGGGGGGGTGCTCTAGACAAATGCAGAGGCCCTGGCACCCGCCCTGGCCCACCAGCAGCCTTCCCTGGAGCAGACACTTTGGCCATTGAACCTGAGGGGCCCTCCGCGTCGCTCCCTGCTGGATGAACTCCTAGGCATCCCTCAAAACCCAGTTTACACCTTCACCCACTCTGTGCATCCTGGGAAAGAGCACTCTTCCCAGGCGCAGTCCTCTGCGAGCCCTCCGCCAGCCCTCCACGTGAGCACTGCCGAGGGCAGCCCGGGGGCCACTTGTCTTGGGGACCTCGGGCCCAGGACGTCCGGGGACCTCTGCAGCGAGCCCAGCATGGCTCTTCCTACAGCTGTCTAGGCACCCTCTGGCCACGTACCTTACCGGCCTCCTGGGGCAGGGTGGGGGCCCAGAGGAGGCTGCTCTGACTCTGAACCTGCGGTCTTAGGCTAAATTTAGAAGAGCGAGAAGCTCCCCCCCCCCCCCCCCCCCCCGCTGGCTTTGTGTACCGCCAGCCCATGGAACACACTTTGCCCAGGGAGAAAGTGCCCAACGTGTCCCGCACACCACTGGTGGCCGAGCACCGCGAGGAAGACCTCCAAGGACAGGGCTCCGAGCCCCAGCGGCAGGCTGGGGCCCCTCTGGGGACACAGTGGGCGTGGCCTGGAGGCAGAGGGCTGGCCTCGGAGACCTCTGGATGTCCCCCGCCCCCACCCTGGCCTACATGGGGCCCCGGTTGACAGGGTCAGACAGCTGTCGAGCCCCGCGTGTAAAAATATATCTGTGCACACACACAGGCTGGTGTGCATCTGCAGGGAGACGCACGCGGCAGGCCAGCGGCGGGCAGCCTCGTGGCGCACTCGGGGCGCACGGCCGCAGGGACGGGGTCCCCGTTTCCCGCGGCTTCCGGACCCCAGGGCCTCCACCCTGAGGGCTGGTAGAGTCGTTATTATTTAGGGGACAGCTCACGGGCCGCTGCCTGCGCTCCCAGGGCCCCTTCCTCTGCCTTCAGGCGCCGCCCGGGACCGCGGGTTCAGCTGGCGCAGGGCAGGGGACCCAGGCCCGCCAGGCGCCCCCGCCCTCCCCTTGCACCGGGGCTCGGGGCACACCCGGCCCCCGCCCCCCCCCCCCCGACAGCGCGCAGGAACCAGTCAGGTCCACGCCCCCGCCTCCGGGCCGGGGTGGGCGGCACCCCCAGGCCACCGCTCAGGCGCAGGCTGCAGGCCAGCCGCGGGCGCGGCCTTTGTGGGCCGCCGGGCACCTCGCCATCACGTACAACTTTTTGTCTCCGGGCAGCGGAGGGCTCCGCCGCGGGGACCCCGCAAACTTGCCACGGCCGCGCGCACCCCGCGAGCACCCCGCGCCCCGCGGCCGCCGCCTCCAAGGTCAGGACGGAGGCCGGCCGCACCCCCACCGCCCGTCCGCCGCCCGGCCCGCGCCCTGCTCCCCGCTCCCCGCGGCCGCGCTGCCATAAGTGGGGCAGGCGGCGGCGGGGCGCGGGGCCCTGTGCGTGTGCCCGCTGTGCAGCAAGCTGTTGCCCGGCGCGCACGTGCTGCAGGGGCACCTGAGCGCCCACTTCCGCCCCCGGGCGCGGCTGTCCCCCGACGGCCCGGCGCCCACCTGCCCGCTCTGCGGCAAGACCTTCTCCTGCGCCTACACGCTGAAGAGGCAGGAGCGCACGCACTCGGGCGAGAAGCCCTACACGTGCGTGCAGTGCGGCAAGGGCTTCCAGTACTCACACGACCTGAGCCGCCACGCCGCGGTGCACATGCGCGAGAAGCCGCACGCCTGCCGCTGGTGCGAGCGCCGCTTCACGCAGTCCGGGGGCCTCTGCCGTCACGTGTCACGTCCGGAAGTTCCTTTTTTTTTTTTTTTTTTTTTTTTAGAAAGACAAAAATGTTTTATTTTAAAACATTGGAAAACCATTGAAAGACAAATGTCCATTATATAACCATGAACGTTAAATATTTGGAAACTGTGAATCTTCTAAAATGTGGTAGGCACTTCCAAAGAGCTAAATGTTGCAAATTACTGTACTGTATGTCTTCTCTAATATCAACAATACTTGATATGATGAAAAGTACCAAGAAGACTCAACTAATTGTTATTCAAAGTCACCATCTTAGGGTTCCACTTAATGACAGGAGTAAAAGTTTTGTCCAAGATGTTCCTGACACATGAAGCTTCCGGGTGGATTTCAGAAATGTTTAACAAAAGTACCTTCCTTTTTTGCCTGTGAATGTTTGAGTATTGCTGTATTGTTGGTTAATATCCACTACAGATACTGGTTCTAGGCCAGCCCAAGGGTCTTCAAGCATTGAAGGCTTGAAATAACTTTCCAACTCATTATTCTTTTTTCTCTACCAGGCCCTGATCCAAATGGTGTAGATGTCCTTGGAGAACCCTGGGGGTGGGTCTGCTGCTGCCCTGGGGAGTAGCCGAATTGCTGCTGGGACCCCGCGGGGGACTTGGAGTAGGAGCCAGGGTAGCCGCCAGGGGACGGAGACCCGAATCGGCCCCCCGGGAAGCTGCCGCCGTGTCGCGGAGAGTGGCCGCTCCCATAGGGCCTAGACCGGGGCCCGTACGGCGGCGTGTGGTGCGGACTCCCGTACCCGCCCCGAGGGGAGGGCGGCCGCGGTCCGCCTCCGCCCGGGGCATCCCGGAAGCCGCTCCCGCTACCCCAACCTCCTACACCCGCGCCGGGGTAGGGAGGAGTCGGGGGTCGAAGGTTCTGCCGGTGCATGTCAGGAGACGGAGACCAAGCCCTCAGCGCCGCGCTCTCCCCTCGTCTGGAAGTTCCACTGCGGCCTGGTCAAGTCCCTGCTGCTGTGACCTGTCCCCGAGGTGGAACCTTGCGGTGGAGGCCGCGGGATGGGGGCTGGGGAGCGGGAGGCGCCCCTGTGCCGCGCTCCCAGCAGAGGGACCACTGCTGCCCCACCGCGGGCGGCTCAGAGCTGGGGTCACCCTCCTCCTGCCTCGCTCCTCCCCCACCCTCGGGCGGACTCCTGCTCCCAGCTGTGCCCTGACCTTGAGCACTGTCTTCCTCTCCATCCCTCCAGCCAGTGTCCCCTCTGTCACCTCCAGGGGGTGTCCTGAGGGCCCTGAGGCCGGCCCCAGGCTCCTTGGCTTCAGAACGCCCTGTAGTCCTCCCACGGGGGGGGGGGGGGCGGGGGCTTTCCTGACCACCTCCCTGACTCACTCGGGCCTTCCCTTGTGAGCCTGGCACCGTGCTTGGTAGGGAAGGCACACATCGCAGAAGCTGTCGGTGTGTCCCAAAAAGGGCCCTCGGGTGGAACAGGCCGCTCCTGGTGGGTGGCAGCGGGAGCGTCCCGGGGAGGCCCTGGGCACAGGGAGCGCAGGCGGGCCAGCAGGGCGCAGAGGCAGAACCAAAACCAGCCGGAAGCTGAGTGGCTCTTGAGTTCCAGGTGCTGGCGTGGGACGTGGGTCCCCCAGGGCTCGGATCCTGACCACACTTCAATTCCGTCCGTGAGAGGAAGTCGCAATTTGGAAATGATTCTCTTCAGACGCAGAGAGCTTCCCCTCCCGGAGGTTGCCAGATGTCTGCCCGCAGGCGTCGGGCCGATGGGCCGTGCTGCCTCCCTGCCTGAGCACAGGGTCCGGGTGCCTCTGAGCACCCCGGGCGGGGGCGGGGGTGGGGCTTGGGTCTCGCAGGCTGCTACTGGGCTGCTCTGGGCCTCACCCTGACGTCGTCGGTGGTTTGCCTGCCTCCCTGCTGCGGGCCATTTCCAAATGCTGCTCTCTACTCGGGGCGATGTTTGCGGGCTTTCCCTTCCCTCCAGCGGGGCTGGGTGACAGCAGCCATCCAGCAAGGAGGCGATCAGCTCTTGCCGGCCTGGGGTCACAGCCCCGCCCCGCTCCGCTATCACCCACAGCTCCTGGAAGGGAGTGATCTCTGCATTTGCAGTCGGTGGCGGTCACCCAGCAGATCTCGCTGCCACAATCTCTGTGATTAAGACAAGGGGAGAGGGCTGGCAGGGGCTTGTCCCAGCTCCTGGGGGTCTTGCCGGCGACAGAGCCCCCCTGGACTCCTGGTATCCACCAACTGGAGGCACTGAGGACAGAGTCCAGCCCAGTTTAAGTTATTTTCTCGTCTCCTGGCAACACTTGATGTCATATTTATTTGTCTGCCTGGTCTGGAGTGGAATGACCGGCGGCCTCACAGCAGGTGCACAGAAGGGGCTGGCTCCCTGCGCGCCCTCGGCTCCCCTGCTGTGTGGGGAGCCCACCCTGCATGGCAGAGCCTCTCCTGGTGCTTGGGGCTCAGAGGCCCTGGACTGGCTGCAGACCAGAGAGCGCCGGGCAGGGGACGCCCTGGCGCTCGGCCCACACCTCTGGAAGGGCTGCTGGTACCTCGCACTCAGTGTCCTGTACTCCGTGGCCAGGTGTTCCTGTGTGTGCGTGTGTGTGTGTGTGTGTGTGTGCGTGTGTGTGTCCAGCGAATGCCGAGGCCGAGCCATGCCCACCGCCCCAGCGGGCAGCAGGGAGACGTGGCGGCGGCCCTGGTTTTCCCCGGCGGTTCCGTGGGGGAACTCTCCCGTCCTGACTTATCAACACTGGATTCATTGTCTTCTGCAGGTACTGTGAAGTTAACGTAAAGGGAAGTGGTTAGTTTTTAACTTGAGAACCCACACAGTCCAGACGAAATCTCTATTTATGTATTTAACGCACACGGTGCGTGGGCACGCGTGGTAGAGGCACGCGGAGATGCAGCCAGCCCGAGGGGAGCCTGCCGTGCGGGGTCCTCGGGGCCGTCCCGCCCCGTGCCCACGGCCTGGGCCGGCCAGCTCCCAGGGACCCGGGGACACCTTGCTTGTGCTTAGTGCTCGGCGGGCGGTTTTGTTTGCACGCGCCCGCCTGCCATGGCAGTCTGGAAGGGAGTGCTGTCTTCCTGTGTTCACATCATCGTCTTCATGACAGTGCTAATAAAGGCCGCCCCAGGTGGAGGTGGCCGGGATTATTCCTGGGGACAGGAGTGTGTGCCTCTCCAAGCGTGTGCAGGAAGTGTGGGCACCGCTGGGGGCAGAGGAGGCCCCGGGGGCAGGGGAGGGTCCCAGGTGGGAGGCAGCCACTCTGGGGCCCATGTCTCAGGTGGCATCGCCTGCTGTGCCCTCTGGGGGGGATGGCGGGTAGGGCAGGGCTTTGGACAGGTGACACACCCCCTTTCCTCAGGGTGCCCTCCCTGCCCTGGGGGGTGCAGGATGCAGGCTGAGACCTGGTGAGGTGGGCAAGGCTCAGAGGGGACGTGTCCCTCCTGGCCCAGCCCTCGCATGGGGACATGAAGCTGGTGGCCCTCTGGGAACTCCCTTGAGCTGTGCCTTTTTCACCTGGTCCTGGCCAAAGTGTCCTCCAGAAGAGCCAAAGCAGACCGAAGGGCAAGCCAAGGGGTCCCCAAAGGTGGTGCTAAAAAGGCTGCCACGCTTGGGGCTATACCTTGAGGCCTTGACCTGTCCTGACCCCAATGCAGATCGCTGCTTCTGGAAGGTGGTGCCCGGCACCTCCCCTCCCCCACGCAGCCTGCCTCCCACTGAGCCTTCCTCCTGGACCAGGGCCACTGTCTTGCAGGGAGACCCTGTCATGTTCCCAGTTGGGCCTGTGACTCAGCCTTCTCAGAACCAGGGGAGGAGGCTGTTGCCATGCCAACCAGGCAGGGGAGGAGGGCGCCGAGAGGCCCCCTTGGGGGAGGACTGAGCTGGGACGGGGCTTCCCGGGGCTCCTCTCAGCCGCCCAGCACACTGAGCTCCCTGCCCCCTCCATCACCCAAGCCATCAGCCCCGTTCCTCGAGGGCTGGAGCCATCCGGCTGGACCCACTGGCTGGATGGTAAACTGAGGCACGTGGAAGGGCCTGGGGCCTCCTCCTCCCTCCTATCCCCCTGCCCTGCCAGCACTATCTCTACAGTAGATCCCCACAGAAACCGACCCTAAAATCTGGGCCAACTTTCAAGTGGGGGAGAACCTAGTGCTTGACCGCCTGCCTGCACGCTGACAAGCGGTGGGGAAGGGGTGCGCCGAGCCCACGCCCGTTCCCCCTTCCCCTGCGGGCCCGCTTCCCGATGTTTCCGTCCCACCGCACCTCCTTTGTCCATATCGAAGGGAAAGTGGGTCTGGGCCTCCCATGCCCACCTGACCTCCCCAACGCCGTGGGCAGCAGCCCTCCTTTGCCTGTCACGGAACCCTGCGGGGAGGGCCACCGGGTGCTCGTCCTCGTCCCCGTCCCCAGGGCACTTCCGTCCCTCAGTCTTCTCACGTGTCAGACGGGAATCACAGCCCAGCACTGCAGAGGGGTGTTGGGGTCGCGCCCGGTGGGCACACGGGGGCAGCGGCCACTAGGTGCCGGCCAGCGCTGCCGCAGATGAAGGCAAGGATGACACAGCTGGGTCCCCGCGGGCCGTCCCCAGCCCAGAGGGGCACCTGGGGCAGAGGGCCTTGGCAAGCGGGCCCCAAAGAGCAAGCTGAGCTCGTCCTGGGGGTGCTGGATGCACTGGCTTTCGGGGACCAGTGCCGGTCCCGTTGGGCCCTGGGATTCCTCGTGGAGTCACCAGCCCTGGTCATCCCCACTGCATGCCCCTGCAGCTGTCCAGGCGGAGCCCCCTGCAGGGTTCTCCACGCACGCGGGGCTGTGGGAGGAGTACGGGGACAGCTGGCCGGGCCCTGGGGCGGGCGGGGTGGGAGGCCGTGTCCAGGCACGCACACCACGCCCCCCGGCTCCAGCCTGGCTGCCGCTGGCCCTGCAGAGACCCAGTGGGTCTGGGGCATCCCCGGAAATCTAGGGGTGCGGGGACTCCCTGAGTGGAGCCAAATGGCTTTGTTTTCAGCAATTTGAAAGGAAGCCTGTGTGTGGGGAAACCCACCGTGGGGGAGTCCGGTGCGCGCTGGCCGCAGCTCACAGCGCAGGCGGTTACACCCCCGACGTCCCAGGGGCTGGACGTGTGAGATCCAGGTGCTGCAGGGCTGCTCCTGGGGCCTCTCTGGGCGTGTAGACGGCCGTCCTCTCTGTGTCCGTGTCCTGATCGCCGCTCTTCTAAGGACACCAGTCCTAGTGCACTAGGGTCACCCTGGGAACCTCATTTTAACTTGATCACCCCTCTAAAGACCCGACTTCCAAATACAGTCACACTTCAAGGTGCTGGGGGGTGAGGCCTCCAACACAAATTCTGGAGAGAGACAATCCAACCCCTGACAATCAACCCCTGGGGCTCAGAGGGACCCGGAGGCCCAGGTCTGAGCCGCCCACTGTGTTTTTCTCGTCGGTGAGGTTTGCAGAGGATCCAGCTCGCCCTCCAGGGCGCCGGGCAACCCAAGGGCCACTGGGCGCAGCTGCCTACCGTCGTCCCGGGTCCCAAGCCACAGCTTGGGGAGGACTGCCCTCGATGGGCCCGAGCCCGTCCTGCCCACACCTTCACGGGGCCCACACCGGAGTCTCACCCCCCAGCCCGGGTCGCACAACAGCCGCACCCCTCTGGAACCCCAGGTCCAGTCCCTGCACCACAGCACGAGCTCCGTGTCCCCGTCTGCCTGACGGCGCGGCTTCTCTGTCACGAGTCTTGGCCCGTATGTCTGGAACCGCCAGCGTGGCCACCTCATCATGTCTGGCCCCTTTCCTCTACCCGGCTCCCCTGCCCAGGCCTCAGTCTTTGGCGGCCTCTAACTCCTCAGGGACTCAAGCCTGAGTGGCCACAGCCACCCCCGACGCTGCGCAACCCGCAGGGAAGGATGGCGCATCCGCTGAGCGCATGCCCACATCCTAGGCCGAGTGCGGGACGCACCGTCCGTGGCAGAGCCCGAGTGTTTGCCAGGCGGCGTGCAGGCCTGC